ACTTCCTGGTTTGAAGGTTCCAAGGCAATGCCCGCTCGTCTTTCTTGTAGAGGTATGTCAGAAAGAGGGTAAAACGTTAAGAAGTGAAAAAGGTAAAGCGTTAGGAAGTGAAATTTATTATGAACAGAGGTGAACATAGTATAGCAGTAAATTTATGCTATCCCATCGACAAAACTATTATTTTTTTCGTGGATTACCTCAGTACCTCCAGGTAAATTCCGGGATAATAATTCGATTATGCAACGAAATATTCTTCTAATTTATATCATTCTATAATCCGACGGTATGTAGCGTCAGTACTTAAGAAAGCGTCATTAAATAACACACAGAAAAATCTCGAAGCTGTCACTTTATATTTCTTCCCTTTTTCTTTCTTTCTTTTCCTTTCTCATTTCTTCCTTGCAGAATGCAATTTGCCTTGCACGCTTCCAGATACTTAACGTTCTCTTGCGACGTTTTTAACATAACTTGAAACTAAGCGGAGATTCTATTTAAACTTAATGACATTGGACTTTTCTTAAATTACATTTTAACTGCGTATTTTTACCGCTTTCTTCTCTTTCTGAACTCTAAGTAAGACCTTTGAAGTTCGCCTCCAATTTCTTTAATATTGATTCGTTCATCAGGAAAAGTCAGAACATGACAGAGAATGTTTCACTCTAAGCTTCTCGCAGTCAGAAGCCACCACTATCCGGCGTTCAGTACATGTCTCAGGATGTGTCGTCACCAGTCAGTGACGCAGATTTTTACGTCACTGTTTTAAAATTTCTAGTTCCCATTTGGAACAATCAGTGGGAACCAAAATACCCATACCGAAGATTTCGTCAAACACACAGGGAATTTTCTTCCGTAAGGTTGCCTACTCAAAGTATGACGCTAGCAAGTTTATTCCGTAAAAATAATTTCTTCCGAATGACCAGTTGCATTTAAATTGTTTAAACAAATGTGATGCATTGGTAGGAAAAAAAGTTTGGAAAGTGTTGATAGTTGGGGTACCTCAAGAACTTTCTTTTAAACGAGGTATATTAAAATAAACGGTAGAAAGCACTGGTTTAGACGGAGCGTAAGTAATATATCGATAGTGTCATTTCGAAGGAATTCCATGAATCCATCTTCAGAGTAGAAATATAACCTGAGTGTGGGAAAAAGAACGGTACGTATAGAAAGAGGATGGGACAAGGCTGGGGCCCTGAAGAACTCCAATATCGCCCTTGGAAACCGATTTTTGAATGACCAATATGTTTACAGTGTTCACATTTTGTTTTTGACGCTTCGTTTAAAACCAAGCTTCATTTTTCAGTAACCAGCCAAGTGCCGGGTCAGAGATGTGATAATGTGCTGCCTGGTCAGGGCCATCACACACCTCGGGGGGCGGTGACATAGGTATGGAGCAATGGTAGAATGATGTTTAAGAGGGGGAAAGCGTAGAAGCTTGAGGAAAATCATGTTCTAGTTCCATTTCCTCCGCTATGAAGTCACTCTAGGACTGAACGAGGCATAAGCCAGTGTCTAATAATTCGCGTCATCACAACGATGCCTGGTTTCCGACGTTTTGAAAGAACCTTGTACCTGCTTTTCGAACTCCAATGTCAGAAAATTTTATTCCAAATCAGTCTTCTGGTTCGTTACCTACGTTTCGGAACAACCTTTTTTTCTTAGTCTCAACTTTCAATGTCAGAGAATTTCATTTCCAGCAATCGAAGTTTCCGAGTAACCTGCTTCTCCAATGTCCACTTTCAATATCACATAATTTCCTTCGCAGCTTTTAACATGCATTGTGGTTCTTAGTGACGTTTCGAAAGAACCTGTTGCCTCCATCTAGAGCTTGAATGTTGGAGAACTCCATTCGAAGGCATCAGCATAATTATAATAATGGACACGACAGATAGAGAGATTTCCTTCACTGCTTCATGGGAGGACATTTTAGACCCACCATCGGGGCACAAATATCATTTTCGATAGTCACAAACATTACCGGCAAATGACACAATCAAAATGCAGGCAGCATTTCCATACTCATCCCAACACTCTAATATACACGATAACAGGCTTTTCTTAAATTACTTCATATGCATGCGAGTTTGGGTATGGTGAGGTCTATTAACTGGTTCACTAGTTTTGATTTCCAGAATTTCATTAAAGCAGGTGTCATTAAAGGGGCCCCCAAAGTTTCAGAAAGGAGAAACAAGGAAAGTAATGTTGCTTATAGACCCGTTGCTAAGAGCTGACTCTATAAACAGCGGCCGTTGCTAGGTAACGCCCGCAATATACACGCACGGAACAATAGAACAATGGAGTTATGCAAATCCTTTCCTAAGCAACGGCCGGCCACAGAATATTCCTGGTACTCATTTCTCTTAGAGGCTAAGTCGACCCCAGGGCCATAGTGGAGCTGCAAGGAGTACGTCAATTGAAGAATCCAATAATCTCAACGGGAATCGAACCCGCGACCTCCGGGCTTGTAGCATAGTGCCTCAAACAACTACGCTACCGCGTGTCCCTATAAATTTAAACAGTCGAGGAGAGGAGAGACTGAAGAATCTTCATGGTGACAAAGACGTAAGCTCTCTTGCTTTTTTACGCTTCTTAACTTCAAAAGAGTTAATAAGATGAACTCCATGCTATACATATATATATATATATCTGGATCTCTCTTCTGAAACATTTCCTACTTTCATTATAAAAATTTCCTGGCAGGACCGGTGACCTGGGGGGGTTCTTTAGACACAAAGAAACAGAAGAGAATTATAAAGGGACTATTTTGCGAGAAAAATAAATAATAAACACAATATAATGTTTACAAGAATAAGGGTAAGCATGATCTTACAGTGATATTGAAATGTCATGGACTTGCGGTGGTAAAAGACGGAGTCGCGAGCCATAATTGGCAAGCGATGATTCTCGTCGGAATAAAAAAAAATGCAGAAATCGCATTACAGTCGCGACCACTGAAAAACATTTCCCTCGAAATTCAACGATGACTCATTTATTTCGTACCTTTCATACCTTTATCTCCCTCCCTCCTTTCTTCATTTGAAGATCTTATATTTTTATCTTTCAAGTGGTACGTTTCCGAAAAAAAAAAGGTGGGCTGTTATCAGTGTCCAGGTTGTGTCTCTAGAACTAACCTCTATGTTGCGAGTAAGAAATATGCAAGAGAGGGGCAGTGGTTGTAGCTGCATTTTTGTGGGGTACAATTGTGACGCACTGTCTGTAACAGATGGACACCCCCTGAAAGAATTTTTATAAAACAGGAAACGGCCGAGTGCCACTAGACTATTGCGTTGAAATAGGGTACAATAATAGACGGGACACACGTTGATGTTTGAGGCACTATGGTACAAGCCGAAGGTCGCAGGTTCGATTCCCGATGAGGTCACTGGATTTTTTTTTTCAAATCACCTAATCCTTCCAAGCGCACTATGGTCATGGGGTTGACTCAGCCTCTAACAGAAGTGAGTACCAGGAATTTTCTTGCGGGGTAAATAGAACGATCAAGTCAAGGAGGACGAGGTGGGCAGGGCATGTAGTATGAATAGGGGTGAAGAGGAATAGGATATTGGTGGTAAAACCATAAGGATAGAGACCATTGGGAAGACCAAGGCATAGGTGGGTGGACAATATTAAAATGGATCTTAGAGAGATAGGATGGGATGGTATGGATTGGATTGATCAGGCTCAGGATAGGAACCAGTGGAGGGCTCTTGTGAACACGGTAATGAACCTTCGGGTTCCATAAAATGCTGGGAAATTCTTGAGTAGCTGCAGAATTGGCTTCTCCTCAAGAAGGGCTCAGCTCCGTAAGTAAGTATAGGGCGGACGCTCACCGCCATTTGTGAGCCAATTGTCTAGAAAATGTGGGAGCCTCGACGTCTCACAACCCTATGGGCCTTCACGACCTGTTAGAGGGATAGCTACACCGTTTATCTTATAATAACGGAAAGTTTCCGTGAAGATCTACAAGTTTTCAGCCTTCACTTCGGCACCAACTCGCTACTTACCTATCCGAGCACAAAGCATTTCCCTCTACGTAAACATAGACGTATGTGCAGTATTGCTTGTTGCGCAAGATTAAAATTTTCGAAATAATTAAACAAAAATAAGCAAATCTGTCAGGAATTAGCGGAATATGTACTCACAGTTTCATCATCTGGTATGTGACGCCGTGTAGTCCGGTATAATTCCATCAACATTTCGAAGCAATGTACCGTTTCCATCTTCAGAATCGAAACCAAGTAAGAAACCAACAAGAACCAGGTCTCAAACAGAGCTCTGCTTGCCATCTGCTTCATGGTCGGATTTTCTTTCCAGCCCTGATGATTGAGACGAAATATTCCTCCGAAACCTCGATGAGCTTCTATGGGACTACGGGACGCTATGTTCCCATAAGAGCAAAACATTTAAGTTCCACTGGGTTGTGACGCCGTGTAGTTCGGAAAGAGTCCGACGTTTCGGAGGAACGTATCGTCTCAATTTCGGGCTCGACAGCTAGGGAGAGGAAGAAGCCAACAGAAGCAGATGAGGATAGAAGGAAGCAAAGCTACTGTGCTCCTTGCAGCATTTGAGCAACCCTAATGTTGCGGGGAAGGTAGTCTGCATGTTATCAGTGATAAGGCTGACCAACCCACAGAATTCACAGATAAGAGCGGCGGCTCCTCTGTGTCAGTCTGTGTGGACAAGTCAGTTCTGTTTGCTTGTGCGTTGCTGAAACTTGACACTCTTTCCCGGGTTCGAAGAGAATAAGAACTGTACGAAACGGTTCAGACGCTCCTGTCGGAATGGAACATAGCAGTTATTCACTGAACATATAAGTTTTAACAGCAGCGAAGAGGCGAACTTGAAGAAGCACTTGTCAAGCCTGTTCACTTCAGACAGAATCAAGATCAACACTAACGTTAGGCATTTGTCTTGTGTGGTATTGAGACAAAGAATATGAAAATATAGTTAGTCAAAGCTATAAACCATATTTATCACATAGGTACTGCTTATTACAGTGAAAGCTAAAAACAGTTTCCCAGAAAGTGGACCATATAAGGTACGTATTTGGAACATACAAATTTTCATATCCAATCACATACTTACTTAGTGTTCGCCTTTATGACCCTTTAAAACCCACGCTCACGCTCTTCTCTGCACGCGGTAGCATAGTTGGTTGACGCACTATGCTACAAGACGGAAGGTCGCGGGTTCGAGTCCCGATGAGGCCACGGGATTTCTTTCAATTGACTTAATCCTTCCAGCCGCACTATTGCCCTGGGATCGACTCAGCCTCTAACAGAAATGAGTACCGGGAATCTTCCTGGGGGTAAAGGGCATTCGGCGCGTAAGGCTGATAACCTCTGTGAGTCGATTGTCTAGAGAAAATGTGGGAGCCTCGACGTCTCAGAACCCTATGGGCCTTCACGGCCTGTTACAGGGACAGCTTTACTTTCTTTTTTTTTTTGCCTCTTCTTCTCTACCGCTTTCCTTCTGCCTCCACCTTTTCACTTTCAGCTCTCGCTAATCATTCTCTGCATTTTCCAGCCATCTCAATCACAGCCACCTCACTTGTCTTCTACCTTAAAATTTCGTAGATTTCAAAGTACCTTCCTTAATGACACAGTTTTTTTTTAATTTGTTTAGTGGGGGGTTGAGTCCAACTGGGTCCACTCGGCACGGCAGCCACTGATTGGCCTATTGTACCTGTCCCGGGTGATTATGATGATGTAAAATTTTGTGGAATGAAGACTGGCAGGGGAAACCGCAGTACTCGGAGAAAACCTTCTCCAGCGCAACTTTGTCCATAATAAAACCTACTTGATCAGACCCGGGATCGAACCCGGGCCGCCGCGGTGGGAAGCCAGCGACTAACCGCTTGAGCTATGGCGCGGCCTGACGACACATGAATAACTTTAGCTTTTTTATGTACCATCGTCACAAGTGTTCAGATCTTATAAATACAGTAAAACTTGGTTATAGCAACATCGGTTTCTGCGACACCTTGTCTATTGCGTCAAATATTCAATGGTACGAACTAATTCCTCATAAAGCAACTGTTTTTATACCTTGCTTAGTACGACATGCACAAATGCATCAACCTCGTATGTAACGTCATTTTCATTCCTGAATTTCTC